AAATGTTAATAGGCCAATTTAATGCATAACCTTGATGAAGAGGGCAATTTTTTTCTTGAATTGTGTCTCCGTTTATTTATTTATTTTATAAGGGTCTCCCCTTATAAAATGAAGATGACGAGTGAGAAGATGACGAGTGAGACCTCGTCGAAACGTCGCCTAGACACCCCAACTTTTACACGGGAAGACACCCGAGGACACCAAAACCTGCATTCCTGTACCCGTGAAAATCTACGAAAGCAAATATATATATATATATATATATATATATATATATATATATATATATATATATATATATATATAATATTATATTATATAAAACATGCTGGCATCTGCTTTACTGTAGACAAGTTTATATGGGCAAGTTGAGAATTTGGTCAGCCAGAAAAGTATATACAAAAAGTTATAAATGGCAAGTAAATTTTGATTGGCTTAGAAAAAGGCCCAAATAGGCTGCCTGTTTCACTGTCTCTTTGATCTTTGTATTGCTGACAATGTTCCCCTCATAGATTACTCTTGAGAAACATTTTCAGTTCTTTCATTTAAACGCTTTTGCAACTTAAGGTAAAACAAAGGAAATTCAATGAGTAGACAACTTAAGTCCTGTTGTTTGGACTGATGGACACTGTGCAACAACCATCATAGCTAGAGCAAAGTCAGATGTTACACTTTCTTGTTATATAAACTGCCTTATGACTGAAACAGAGAAAAAGAAAAGCCTGGGCCAAGGAACGGACATCTGCATTGTTCTTGTGAAATTGTACAGAAGTTTCAAGCTGTAGAGCTATTCATGTAAATTGCAGGAGAAAAACGTTGGGGATAATTGTTTATAAAGCAATAAGTCCTAAATGTTAATTTGGGGCAAATTAAAAGCAGTGATCCTTTACATATTTACTTCACAAATATTGGGAAAGTTATTGCCTAGTTGTACAGCAGGGCTTTGTTTTAAATTATGTTGTAAAAGTCTCTGGATAATTATTCTGAACATTGGTATATAAATAAGATAAAATTCACCAAGTGTAAGTCTTACTCTCCCGGGCTGAGCCACATCACATACATTGGACATGGGTGTGAGCATCTGACACCTCCAGGTACACAGTTCTCCTCTTGAGCTTGACCTCTATATCAAATTTTAAGGGGAAGGAGAAGAAAAATGCAGGAATATTGGTTTGTTTTACTTTCCAAGTAGTTTTACTTAGAGTTGACCCACTGAAATTAATGGGCCTAAGTTAGTCATGTCCATTAATTTCAATGCGTCTTCTCTGCATATGATTAACATCGTATAAAACCAAATGTAAGAGAAATCACAATGAAAGTTAGACCCAATTCTTTGTTTGAAGTTCAAATACTGTATCACATTCATTCACTAGATCAGGCACCCCCAAACTCGGCCCTCCAGATGTTTTGGGACTACAACTCCCATCATCCCTAGCTAACAGGACCAGTGGTCAGGGATGATGGGAATTGTAGTCCCAAAACATCTGGAGGGCCGAGTTTGGGGATGCCTGCACTAGATAACCCTAAGCAAGACACTGTTTCTCAGCTAAACAACTGTGACCTACCTTGCAGGAGTGTTGTAAAGATTATTGACATCATGTATGTGAAATACTCATGAATACTAAACAGGAGAATTTCAATACTTTGATGCAACTGTGTTCACATACTGTAGAATTCATTTACATGAGTAATTCTGGCACATTTACAAGTTTGGGATTGATTTTGCTCTGATTTTTATGAGTTGGAGACTTCCTTCCCCTTTAGCGCAATTTGCTGAGGCTCTACCTCACTATTTGGCTTGAGTACATACAGTATTTGGACGTAGAGCTCTTATGCTCTTTATTTTATTTGGAAGGAATAGTTTTTCGTAATGCTTATCAAGATTTCTTTGTTGCTTAAGTATATATTTACCTCTTCAGTAATTTGTGAATACAGTGGGAACATGCACACTCCTTTATGAAGCATCTGTGGAAGCAAACAGTGCTCATGTTCATTTAGTAGTTTTAATGGGATTCTTGTTAATTTTATTGTTAGGTTTGTTTTTTTACTTTGTAGGGAAAAAGCAAGATATAAATTTTAGTATAAGTAATTAAAGGTAAAGGTAAAGGGACCCCTGACCATTAGGTCCAGTCGTGACTGACTCTGGGGTTGCGGCGCTCATCTCCTTTTATTGGCTGAGGGAGCCGGCGTACAGCTTCCGGGTCATGTGGCCAGCATGATGAAGCCGCTTCTGGCGAACCAGAGCTGCGCACGGAAACGCTGTTTACCTTCCCACCAGAGCGGTACCTATTTATCTACTTGCACTTTGACATGCTTTCGAACTGCTAGGTTGGCAGGAGCAGGGACCGAGCAATGGGAACTCACCCCGCTGTGGGGATTCGAACTGCCGACCTAGGCTCTGTGGTTTAACCCACAGCGGACACCTGGATATTTACATTGCTGTTAAATTAATATTTAATATTTGCCAAACAGAGGTATAGTCTCTTAAACAAACAAACAAACAAATAAACAAACAAATTGTGTTAGCTGCTGGTTTACAGTCAAATACTCCTGTAAGGCCATTGAGCAAATCAGTTTTGACGGGGCCATCTTAATTGTTCCTCCTTACCTGTAGAACAGGGGTCAGCAACTTAATGCCATGGGTCGGAAGTGGCCCACAGAGGTCGTTTGACTGGCCCCTGAGCCGCCCCCGAACTGAGCCGCCCCCTAATGTGCTGCACTAAACTGGCGCAGCGTGGCACGGGGACTTGCTTCCCGTGGCACTGGAAATTGCATCTGCGCATGCGCAGATGCTGAAAATTGCAGGCGCGCGCGATCCAGCCCACGCAGGGATCTCCACGGGACCGATCCGGCCCAGGCAAGATAAACCTTTCTGACCCCTGCTGTAGAAGTTCGAAGGAGCTTCAGCTTCAAGCTTAACCAGTTAATCCATCCATGACAAAGGAAATGCTCACGGCTGCCCCATTCATTGACAGCTCCTATCCACTCAATTTTATTTTCTGTAAAAATGTGTACCCTGTTCTTTTGGTGTCTATGCACCACTGAGGGAGACTGGCAACAGTTAAAACCAACTAAAAAATAATATGCCTTTCCTAAAGACAAACAAGCAATATAATAAAAACAGACAAGTGTTTGTCCGTCCCCCAGCACTGAGAAGCCTACCAGCTTCTACCAAGGACAGTTAAGGTAGAAAGGTAGTAAAATGAAACAAACAAACAAACAAGCAAACTCTGTATCTCCACTAGAGGGTAGTATGGATTTAAGAGCTCAGCCAAAAGAATTAATATACTATTGGTACAGGTTTTAAGAGTTCAGCCAACACACACCAACTGGCAAAATAGCTAGCAGCTAACTGCCTGGTCTGATCTCATTGGGTTCCAAGCTAAGGGAAGCAAAATAACCTGATATTTCAGGGGGTTGGACTAGATGACCCTTGCAGTCCCTTCCAACACTCCAATCCCATGATATCATTGTGACACACCATTCCCTCCCCCGTAAATGCACTCTCTCATTGGTCATGCCCAGTTTTAGCTCCAAGATGGAACTCAAAACCGGACCTAACAATGAATGGACCATGCACAGCAATAGTCCTAATAACACCACGAATTTCCTGCACGCACCACAGTACAACCCTAAAGAGAGTTGCCATTTGGGACTCTCTTGCCTCTGGTCGTTATCTAGGGCTAAATAATGCTCATCACCACCACACAGTCAACAAACATATCAGACGAGGACTGAGCACATGACACCACTTGCAGGAGAAGAAACCAAGATTCAGGTGCTCTGAAAAGCTGCCGCCTGTTAATGGGCAGACAGAAATGAAAGCAGGATTTAAGGAGGCAGAACTTTTTGCATTCATCTCTTCCATAGCTGCTGTCCAGCTGCTCCCTTGGGGGCAAGGAACTTTCCTTGAGGTGTCCACCAAGTTAGAAATAGGAATGAAAAAACTAACCCTACTTCCTGGTGAGAGAAACAGTCCTACTCCAAATACGGGCTGGATCTGCTGGCTGCTAGTGGGCAGATTGAAACAAAATGGGTGGGGAGGCTCAAGATGTTAACAGTCTCATTTCACTTCATAAAAATTGTTAACTAAATTGCTTTCTAAACATTACACCTCAATAATCAATATGTTGCACACATGGAGTGCCATAGTCTATAACCTTCCTGTAAGATAAACAACAGTAGGTTTCGTGTTTTGGTTTTACCTCATAGCCATGTCTAGGAAGTGGAACCAGAACAAGAACATTTTCAATGATTAAAGTCCCACTTCCCTTGGTTCTCTTTCCGATTGCGTTCTTCCACTGATTTCCTGAGTATATGAATGGGATAAAACAGTCTGCCAGTTTTATAAAAAGAAAAGAGCTGGCGTTTTGCTTCAGCACACCTTAAATTTCCTTTTCAAAATCTTTGCATGCCAGTAGCCATTCTTGTGCTATAAACATCAGTGAACTGATGAAATGCCAAAAATATCTACGGTTTTGTATAAACCAATATGTGTATAAATAGACTTAGTGAAAATGTTACGATAAACAGGATTAATTCTTTCTGTGCAGAAGAAATTGAGATGATAACCTAATTTACAAATAAATGACATGCTGTGGAAATTACTCCAGAGGGGATACTGTTTACACAGGGATTGCCATCAGAGGTGGTATTTAAAACGAGTGTTTACAATTTGTTAAAGGCTATTATGTTACATAATGTACTGAAGATCAATCTTAGGGATACCATACTATATTGTATACATCTAGACAATGCAGGTTCCCTTGTATGTTGATTGTACTAATAGATTAATCACAGTACCATATGGATTTTAAATTCTATCTCACTTACAAGAAGATGGCAAATAATAACTCAAAACTCTATCTGGCTTATGTTTTTGGAAAGCAAAGTTCATCAGGTTCTTCTAAAGAAAGCTCAGAGTTAGCCAAATGTAATGTTAGCAGTGAGTGCTTGAGAATAGTAAAAGTATGCCTAACAGAAGTTTGTAATTCTTGCAGGTAATAGCTCTAGCAGATGCAGCTGGAAAAAATGAAGCCAATATGTTCCAGGCGTTCACAAAGTTAAAAAGTGCCACCCAACTGGTAATTCTTCTGATTAGCCTGTGGCAGAAACTGAGTGCTGACCAAGTTTCTATTCTACAAGCTACATTTTTGCCATTAACACAGGATACTCAAGAGCTGGTAAGAATCTACTAGGTTTTGTAAAAATGTGGACAAGTATTAAATCTATAGTTATCATGCGTTTCCCAGCATGTTCTGTTAACAGTTTTATTTTTTTCTTTCAACTAACTTTTTTGCTTTTGTTTTGATTTAAGGTGGGGAGTGGCAGGGGAAAAGACATATTTTTCAAGTGTCTTACTGATCCATACTAAATAAATTTCTACTATATTTTTAGCATACAAATTAGTCTTTCCAGCTGGAATTTTTCTTTGGGTTAAGTGTATCTGTATCAGGGTGGCCCTGTCATTACGTAAACTGCAATAGACTGCTTCATGCAATAGATCCAGGCTGCTGTTAAAGAGCAGAACATTCTCATTTACGTTAGCTTATTTGGAGAGGGTGCCATTTGGAATTTCATCCTGATGCATCCAAATGTTTTGAGTCAACTTTGACATATCAAACCATTTCCTAAAGATGTCTGTTCTGTCCCATGAGTACCAAGGTCAGTTCCTTCATCTGGAGACAGCACCTCTTTTTGGTAAAATGACAGGGTCAGCTGTTGAACTCATTGGCAAGGATGAGCTTCCTGACTTTTGGATGCAGTATTTGTTTCTTGCAGACCTCCCTGGAATTCTACATTCCGTATTTAAGATGGCCTTGACACTTCTTCTTATACTTTCCTTTTTAAAAAAAGCTGCTTCCCTTACTCTTCTCACTGATCTAATCAGGTTTCAGGAAGGGAATATAGGTAATTAATTATTATTGGTAGGGTTTGTCCCTAACCTGGAAAATAAAATGGTCTTCTCTAAGCTCCTGAAGAATAGCAAATAAGGCAACAGAAGAGCCTCCCTGTGAATGGGGGCAGCTGGAAGAGGGTCTCTGAAGAAAACCAGTGTGCACAGGCAGGTTGATGTGGAAGTAGTTTGGATTGACATCAGCCCACAAAGTATTCACAAAGTACTGGTAATTCAGGTCGTCATCCTTTGCATCCAAGGAGTGACAGTGTATCCTTACCTGAACATACTCTGATTTAGTCCTTAAACAAGGTGCTGGGGTGTGAGCAGCATTCTAGGATGAGCCAGGAGCCAGGAGTTGGGATTGAAGAGCAGTCAGGATTAAACAGCAATTGAGATCAGAGGGCAAATCAAAAGGCAGGACTTGAGAACAAGCTAGAAGTCAGGGTGAAAGAGCCGGACCCAGAAACACACAATATTCAAGAGCTCAGGCAGGCCTTGTTGCTCAAGCAAATTTCCACTGAGATTGGTAGTCATGTTATATTTCTTGCTGTCTAGGAACAGTCAATGGCCAGCCTGGGTGGGTTAGTGAAGGTTATTCACTGAGAAGCCGTAGTGACATTCCTTGGTCACATGGCATAGTGATCAGCAGCAATAATCAGATATCTGGGGGAGTTAGACTTCAACATATACAGTAGATTAGTGCTCTTCACTTATTACAAATGTCTCGAACATGGGAGTTATTCTAGATACAGTGGTGCCTCGCAAGACGAAATTAATTCGTTCCGCAAGTCTCTTCGTCTTGCGGTTTTTTCGTCTTGCGATGCACGGTTTCCCATAGGAATGCATTGAAAATCAATTAATGCGTTCCTAGGGAAACCGCCTTCAGACCAGGTCCGGGGACAGTCTGTCCCCGGACCTCATCTGAAGGCTGGGGGGGGGGGGACAAGGGCTTTTCTTCCCACCCCCAGCATTTTAAAAAACCCCGGGACAGCGGAGGACTTCTCCGCTGTCCGGGGCGATCTTAAAATGCTGGCGGGCGGCATTTTAACATCGCCCCGGACAGCGGAGGACTTCTCCGCTGTCCGGGGCGATTTAAAAGCCCCTGGGAAGGCAGGCAGGGGGGACAAATACTTTCGCCCCCTGCCCGCCTTCAGAAGGTGTTCCCGCCCCCCGCCCCGCTTCGGAACAGCGTTCCGAAGTGGGGCGGCTGGGGCAGGTCTTCCTGCCCCCCCTCCCCGCTTCGGAACAGCGGGCTAAGCGGGACCTCCCGCCGGGCATGCGAGGCTTGCCGACATCTGCCTGAAGCAGGGGGCGGGCTCCGCAGCTCACCCCCTGCTTCGGGATGCAGGCTGCCGCCCCAAGCCTTGCGCGCAAGGCTTGCCAACATCTCCCCCAGGCAGGGGGCGGGCTCCGCAGCTCACCCCCTGCTTCGGGATGCAGGCTGCCGCCCCAAGCCTTGCGCGCAAGGCTTGCCGACATCTCCCCCAAGCAGGGGGCGGGCTCCACAGCTCACCCCCTGCTTCGGGATGCAGGCTGCTGCCCCAAGCCTTGCGCGCAAGGCTTGCCAGCATCTCCCCCAAGCAGGGGGCGGGCTCCGCAGCTCACCCCCTGCTTCGGGATGCAGGCTGCCGCCCCAAGCCTTGCGCGCAAGGCTTGCCGACATCTCCCCCAAGCAGGGGGCGGGCTCCGCAGCTCACCCCCTGCTTCGGGATGCAGGCTGCTGCCCCAAGCCTTGCTGTCCGGGGCGATTTAAAAGCCCCTGGGAAGGCAGGCAGGGGGGACAAAGACTTTCGCCCCCTGCCCGCCTTCAGAAGGTGTTCCCGCCCCCCGCCCCGCTTCGGAACAGCGTTCCGAAGTGGGGCGGCTGGGGCAGGTCTTCCCGCCCCCCCTCCCCGCTTCGGAACAGCGTTCCGAAGTGGGGCGGCTGGGGCAGGTCTTCCCGCCCCCCCCTTCAGAACAGCGTTTTAAAATGCTGGGGGTCGGCAGCGCTTCGCTCCCGACCCCCAGCATTTTAAAACCTTTCCGGGACATGGGGAGATTTTAAAATGCTGGGGGTCGGCAGCGCTTCGTTCCCGACCCCCAGCATTTTAAAACCTTCCCGGGACACGGGGAGATTTTAAAATGCTGGGGGTCGGCAGCGCTTCGCTCCCGACCCCCAGCATTTTAAAACCTTCCCGGGACACGGGGAGATTTTAAAATGCTGGGGGTCGGCAGCGAACGCTTCGCTCCCGCCCGCCAGCATTTTAAGATCGCCCGGGGCAGGCGGGGGGAAGGCAGGCGGGGGGGAGCAAAGACTTTTGCCCCCCCCCCGGCCTTCAGAAGAGGTCCTCTTCTGAAGGCCGGCTGTGGGCAAAAGTCTTTGCTCCCGACCGCCAGCATTTCCCTATGGGCTTTCGTCTTGCGATGCAAGCCCATAGGGAAATTCGTCTTGCGAAGCGCCTCCAAAACAGAAAACCCTTTCGTCTTGCGGGTTTTCCGTCTTGCGAGGCATTCGTCTTGCGGGGTACCACTGTACTGGATATTAATGTCCAGCGAGCAGGTTTCATCTTCAGGCTGCAATCAGCATGGATAGGATGCCTGAAGACAACAAGACCAATAACAGGTTTTTCAGGACCCTGGAGAGAGCCCAGGGAGCAGACCACTTACTTGTTAGAGAGTGCTTCTTCTCAACAGAACCCTTTTATCCCTTGGCCTGACTACATTTATCAGTCTCCACCTTCTTGATGAGGAATGTGGAGTCCTGTAGAGCAGTGTTCCCCAACCTTGGGCCTCCAGCTGTTTTTGGACTACAACTCCCATCATCTCTCGCTAGCAAGACCAGTGGTCAAGGATGATGGGAATTGTAGTCCAAAAACAGCTGGAGGCCCAAGGTTGGGGAACACTGCTGTAGAGAGAATCCCTTGTCCTTGAGCCTAAGCACGCTTATAATCCCTCAATGAGTTCACATAGACATACTGCCTGGGCTGGCACACTGATTCCTGGTCTGTGAAGCAAATATCTATGCAGAATATTATGCCACTTATCTGGGCAAATGCCTATCTAGAGCATCTTACAGTCAAAAACTGCTAAAGATAACAATCACAGTAATACAAACATTTGAAACTTTAAACTATCAAATACATATATTTTTTAACTTAGCTGGTCAAAAAATAATAATTTGGACCATCAGCCAGCTAACAAGTATCACTCCTGCAAGTCCAACTGAAAAAGGTAGATCTTTAGGCCTTCTAAAAAGCCTGCAATGTTGAAATTTGATGCATATTCAATGAAATTCCATAGCTGTGGGTTTGTTTCAGAGAAGGCAGTCTCCTTCTCTATGTTTCACATGCACCCATAAAAATACGATGCATGAAAATGCTCATCAGAAATTATGCTAATGTGCACACTGTATGTGCACAGTGTCACAGGTTTTACTGTGGTTCATTTGGTAGTAAAAAGTTCAGTTCTTTTGTCCACTGTTGCTCTAGAAGCCAGGTGAATTGGATCTGAAAAAGGCTGGGATTTCTCAGATATATGGAGTGGAATGGTTCTGAATGGTTAAACTTGTGGGTTTTTAAAATAAATCATACAATCTGCTTGGCCTTCTCTTAATGTAATGCTTTGAGACGTTTTCTAGTAACAACATGAGGAAATCTGTTTGATGCCTTAAGACAAGAGGTGCAATTTTAGTACTTGCCCTTCTGTGGCCCCTTTACACATATATCCCACAATATGCAATGTCACATTCCAGGACATCATATATAAGTGGTGTTGTGATGTGCTAAACTGAAAACCTGAAATTGGAGCAAAACCCCCCAAAATAATAAAATAACTCCCTCACTCAGATGCTGCAATAATTCCATACAGAAGTCATTATAGTACCAGAGAAATCTGAATGTGATTTAAAGAGAAGGGCGTTTCTGGTGTGTAAGGGGATGCTTTTGACATTCCATCAAACATTTTCAGAAAGGCTTCTAGCTTGTGTTCAGATTTACCCCATGCAGTTGAGTGGCACTGTGGTTGGAGAGGGGATTCCAGTGATTTGTATTTTACTCTTTATTCAGTTTTACATTATGAGATTGGCTGTATGTTGTAGTAGAATTTTATTTGGTGTAGAATGGCTTTTTATAACATTCTGTATGCTTTAAGCTTTCTGCCTAACACAAATAGCATCCTATCAGATGGGTATCTGCTTAAATCAGAAACATGGCTTCTTGTTTTCTGGACATTTATTTGACATATGATTGATTCAGAGTTTAATTTGTATGGTTAAGTATCCTTTATTTGTATGTTTTCATATGCAACAACACAGTTTTGCATTCCTTCGGTAAAGGATTTTAGCATATTGGGGGGTAGGTTGCTGTGAAGCTGTCATGCGTTCTGTTGTTTATCCAAGCAGGTTAGTGATAGAGAAATCTTTCTTAACACCAAAATAATTAATTTGTGTCTACAGTCACAATTGACCTTTGATGGTGTTAATTAGATAGGGAAGCTTAGTTTTGAAGCTTAAAGCTGACACAAAGTGGCAAGAGTCTCTAGTCCTATCTGCCCTGCCATCACAGTAGACCTTTAGGAGACAGTAGCCATTTCTTAAGCATAGACAAAGCAATCTTCTCTTTAATACCGTTGACAAAATTTGCCCCATCACTGATCCAGAGACCTTCGGACAACTTAGATTTTGCTTACAATTTTGTTTGCCTATTTTTAATTTAATGTTTTTGTCTCTTAAAACCATATTCTTATCTTCAAACTAAATAATACAAATTATTGTCTTGGCATTTATATTTTTACCTTCTGTTGCCCTACAATCAATTTCACTGGGTTGATATAATGTGAAGGGTACTTTTTGAATTCAGCTTCCCTGTCATATACATTATGTGCTGTTTTGCACAGAACAACATGCAGAAGAAAATGAAGCTTTCCCCCCCCCCAACCCAGTAAATGACAATATTTGTAATTTTTATTTTCTATCAGACAGAAATGGAATTAACCACAGTTGGCACTTGTGAACTCTGTCTTTTTTTGTGTTATTTCCACTAAGACTGGATGTGGAAGCCAAAAGATTTATCAGTTTTTTCATGGTTTACAGGCTTTAAATGGAGAGGTGCCTAGAGAGCAATTTCACTTACATGGAACACTTCTCATTCACCATCTTTCAGAGTTAGCTCACTTGGGCCTAGTGCAAATGTAACATTTCCTGATGGTTTAACCATGGCTGAGAAATTGGTCTAAAATATTTTAGTAATATAATTGTGTAGCCATTTGGGCATGCAGTATTACAATACAATTGGTGTTCTACAGTGTGACCTTGCACATGGTTACTCGAAAGTAACATCCATTGATGCTTACTTCCAGGTAAGCAGGTAATTTTTGCTTTAACAAGGTTTATCTTGTGAGTATGAACTCACTGCATTTCCATTCAACTTCATACATCTAATTAAGTAGGCTTCTGCTTATGAAAACCCATGCCAAAGTAAATTAGTAAATTCATGCCAAAATAAGCCAGTTAGCTTCATCTGGGAGATTCCGCTCTTGGCATGACATTTTAGCACAGAACTAGAAGAATGGGATCTGCAAACTAGAAATATAATTCCAGAAGAGGAAAGGACCATGCTGTGTGGGTTTTGTGCATCCTATTTTTGTTCCTGCATAAAAGCACTTGTATCTTCAGTACAAAGTAACTGATCTAAGAATTTGGACTGTAGTTGCTGAAATGGTTAGGCCTTTGCCTCTTCCTAGTAAAACTTACTAAATTCTTAAACTCAGTACTTACAAAATGTATGTGACAGCCTCCACCCTGAGTCCTGTGCCGCTGGAATCCAGTGACAAGAGAGTGTAGCCCCCTGTATGTATGACTGTCCTTTCCCTACATAATAACTTGCTGCCACCAGGGGGTATTTTTTCTACAAAGTTGCCCTCTTTCAATCAGCCTAAAATTACCCTGAGTAGACCATAACAGGTTTATGAAATCAAGTCTAAAGTTTGTTGTTGTCGTGTCCGACTCTTCGTGACCCTATGGACCAGAGCACGTCAGGCACTCCTGTCTTCCACTGCCTCCATCAGTTTGGTCAAACTCATGCTGGTAGCTTCGAGAACACTGTCCAACCATCTCGTCCTCTGTCATCCCCTTCTCCTTGTGCCTTCAGTCTTTCCCAGCATCAGGGTCTTTTGCAGGGAGTCTTCTCTTCTCATGAGGTGGCCAAAGTATTGGAGCCTCAGTTTCAGGATCTGCCTCCATAGCCAAAGATGTGGTGATGGCTGCTCTGGCACAAGCAGAACCAACCTACTCAATTATATATGGGGTGATTAAAGCATTCAGCTAATTTTTATCTTAAAGACAGTCCTCTGACCCAGAGCTCCAAATGGGACCCAACCAGGGAAGCTGTTACATACTGCCTTTTTAAAACATGTCCCAAAACTGTATTTACCTTGTATGCTATTATATTGTTGACCAATATGATTTACAATCCAAACTACTGAGTTCTTTCTTTCTCTCTGTAATTTCAAGGCACACAGTTTATCAAAATTACTTTCATACTTTCGGTATGTGTGCTAATGTTTGTCTGCAGTGATGACAACAATGTTAGCTTGTGTATTAATCCTTTTTTTCATGATATGGGTACATTATTTTACAGTGGCTTCTACCCCCTGCACACACCAGCATACAATATATTATAGTAATATAATTTTGTAACATCGCAAAGCTGTTAATATTGTGACATTAGATTAAGAGCACATATCTAGGGGAGATGTTCAGACTGTGGGATCAGTTTCAGTTGCTGGGCCCTGATGAGGTGGATAAGACAGTTACTGGGCTCAGGCTTACAAAATGCCCTCTTCACCCTTGCCCATACTGGCTGATTAAATTTAGCAGGATTGATTAAGGGAGTGGTTAATGCCTTGTTACAGGAGAGAGAAATGTCCATTGCATTCATGGAAGCTGTGGTACACTCACTTTTGAAAATGTTGATGATTATAATATTTCATAGGGACGCAGGTGCTGCTGTGGGTTAAACCAAAGCGCCTAGGTCTTGCCGATCAGAAGGTCGGTGGTTCGAATCCCCACGTTGGGGTGAGCTCCCGTTGCTTGGTCCCTGCTCCTGCCAACCTAGCAGTTCGAAAGCACGTCAAAGTGCAAGTAGATAAATAGGTAGCACTCCGGCGGGAAGGCAAACGGTGTTTCTGTGCGCTGCTCTGGTTCGCCAGAAGCGGCTTAGTCATGCTGGCCACATGACTTGGAAGCTGTACGCCAGCTCCCTCGGCCAATAAAGCGAGATGAGTGCTGCAACCCCAGAATCCGTCATGACTGGACCTAATGGTCAGGGGTCCCTTTACCCTTTATAATATTTCGTAAAGAATGAAACGGGACATACAGGCTGGGAACTAACCCCATGTGCTAGGAAGCATGGGTTTGTTCATCTTCTGATAGCATCCTTTACAGTCTATTGGCCAATAGGAGCTGATATTCAGGGGCATCATGGATTGCAGTGCAAGGCGGGACAAAAAAGCCCCTGTGTGTCCATTGCTTCTCAGCCTAAGTCCTTATCAAGCAGCTTTCATGTTTCTCACAAAGAATGTTTAGAGGGAAACCTGTGCTAGCCTGTAGGAGCTAAACAGGGGTCAGTAAACTTTTTCAGCAGGGGGCCAGTCCACTGTCACTCAGACTTTGTGGGGGGCCGGACTATATGGGGGGAGGGAATGAATGAATTCCTATGCCCCACAAATAACCCAGAGATGCATTTTAAATAAAAGGACACATTCTACTCAGGTAAAAACACGCTGATTCCCGGACCGTCTGCGGGCCAGATTTAGAAGGCGATTGGGCCGGATCCAGCCCCCAGGCCTTACTTTGTCTACCCATGAACTAAACCAACAATTAGGCTTGTGACACTAAAATATTTAATTCATTACGGCATGAATTGCGGGGGGGGGGGGAATTGTGTATATATGCACCTGTGGGGTTTTTTATTATTATTAAATGGTCATGAAATGTAGGAAGGACAGCTTGTGAAAATTACGTTAAACCTTAAATGTTTGCAAAATAAGCATAGTAATCATTCATAATAGCAGTCATTGGTGATTGCAGATTTGTTGTGTTAATCCTGAATAGCTGTAGTGGCACAGGAAACTGTTGTCTCTCTTCAAACCCAAACAGTCAAAATCTTGTTGATTCTAATTCAGCAATTTCATGCTGGAGTCTCTCTGTGAAGGAATTTCAAATATGTGTGAAATGTGTATGGAACTCAGTTCATGTCCAGGGAACCAACCAGCAGTTTCCAGTGGCTCGTGGTATAAGAAGTATATGTGTTTGGTCTCAGTCACACATGCTAATTTCTTAAAAATAGGAAAGATAGAACACAACCATTTCAAAACTGCATTTTGTTGACGTTTAAGGAGTTATTTTGTGTGGAAAGAAAACCAGTATGAAGAACTGAAAGTTAACTGTACCAGAAAAACTGGAAAACCAGACCTATTTAATCTATTATTGTTAAATACTCTCACTTTTAACATTAACTATTCTGTATATTTAGTTCATTTCTTTATATTTAGAATCCTTAGTTTTTTCTTGCTGCTTGTTTTCATTTTACAAATATGTTTAGTAAATCGTTTAAGCCCATTTCAGTATCAAAATTTAAACCTTTTCCTTTAATTTTTTTTGTTTAATCTTCTTAGTGCATTCTTTACCGGAGTAAAGTGCATGTTTTCCATTTAATTTAGAAATATTTTTCTCTTTCAGGGCTGGGAAGAAATTGTGGATGCGTCTGTCTCTCACTTGTTGAAAACGTGTTTGTCCAAGAGTTCGAAAGACCACGCACTGACACTTACCAATCAGCTGTGTATCCCCAAGGACACTAATAAACTGAAGAAACACATAACCTTGCTCTACGATAGATTGGCCAAAGGGGGTCGGATGTCTCTAAATACAGACTTTGACTCCCAGCAAACAATGATTCCAGCAGGTAAGCAATTTGATATACATTTGTGTGCATCCCAGTTCAGAAATAAAGGAATGTAACTTTGGTTAGGTTTGCTGTTTAAGTTTCCTATTAAAATTGTCATAGTCAAGAGAAATGACTTTCCTCTCCCCCTCAGAAATTCCAGTGTAACCACTGAGTAAATATGCTAGTGCAATTTTGATGCCAAATATTTTTAGAATGGTATGTATTTCTTTGCTGTAGCATTAAATATGATCCATTATGTTTTCCTTCTAACCAATAAAAAGTGGATTAGAGAATAAAACCATTTTCGGCTAACGTTTGTCTAAACTCGATCACTGGCTGCCATATTTCAGGAACATAAATAGACTAATACAGAAGTTAATGTACCCCAGATGATCATTTTGTGCTGCCTTCAAGCTAACCGCTAAGTTCAGTTGAAAGGTGGACAAAGACATGCATTTCTTCTTTTAGGAGTTCCATGTTTGCACCCAACTGGGGTTTTGGAGCCTGTTATAATGATCTCCCTGAATTGCTTCAAACTGTTTTCTTCCTGAAACTGTTTTCTGCCTTAAGAGAGCAAATGCAAGGAATCTATCCACATTACTTTTCTTTAATGTCTTCCCCAACCTTTATTGTTTTACTTATCTGATACAATATGTGGGCACATCTAGTAGGGGCTGGCAGAGTGATTCACGGCTTGATATGTAAACTTTAGTGGAACTGCGCTAAGGTTAGATTCCGAAAATAGGCTAGGGAAGTTTTCCCCTGTTGATTCTTCTGAACTTCTCACCAGGTTTTGATATTGTGGTCTACAGCAATGTATTCCGCTGTCTTGAGCAATGGATGGAGGGATAAGGGTTAGCCCCCCAACTTCCTTTCAAAGCGAACTCAGAAAGTAGCCTTAGGAGATCAACATGTGTTCACTGCTGATTGATAGTGTGGCTGATACTTTTCAGTATCTTTATGAAACCATGGAGAGAAACCATCAAGGGCACTGTGTGATCAATATACTGATGATGCCCAGCTCTCTTTATCCAGCTAGCAGCCAGGAGTGAACCTGAGTTAGATAGCTATAGTTTAAGTGTGATTCAGCAGGCTCATACTGAATCTCTGCATGGGGAAAGTAACATAAATGGGGAATCCCAATGTTCTTGGAGATATGAGCTTGCTCATTATTAATGGCGTAACTGAGGTCTTGATTCAGCTGATGCCATAACCATTCCCCAATTCCTTTTCTTCTTTATATTCGCTCTTTTAAGCACAACAGAAAAAGCAATAGCTGTCATTAATAGGAGACACACTTGCCACTCAGTGTCTGGGAGGGGCAAACACTCTGAATAGCAGATAACTAACCCTTCACTTGATCTATTTCCCAGTGGCCAACATGAGCATACATTTCTATTTGGTCATCAATTAGCCCTGGTGAAAACAAAAGCCGCCTTCCAAATGGCACTACTTGCACTGGAAACCTAATCAACCATCCTCTTAAGGATAGGATCCTCATCTCCATTGTTCTGCACTGAGCACTCAAATTCAAGATATGGCCAGGACATGGAACCTTGTTTTGATTGGCTCAAGCCCTCACCTTTAATTCCTAAAAATAAAGGGACCCCTGACCATTAGGTCCAGTTGTGGCCGACTCTGGGGTTGCGGCGCTTATCTCACTTTATTGGCCAAGGGAGCCGGTGTACAGCTTCTGGGTCATGTGGCCAACATGACTAAGCCGCTTCTGGCGAACTAGAGCAGGGCACGGAAATGCCGTTTACCTTCCCACCGGAGCGGTACCTATTTATCTACTTGCACTTTGACGTGCTTTCAAACTGCTAGGTTGGCAGGAGCAGGGACTGAGCAACGGGAGCTCACCCCATCGCAGGGATTCAAACCGCCAACCTTCTGATCGGCAAGGCCTAGACTCTGTGGTTTAACCCACAGTGCCACCTGCGTCCCTTTATTTCCTAAGGCTGCCTTAATTATCCTGTGATGGAAAACACGAACTGTTGTACCTGGAATTATTTAATATATCCAAAACAGCATGAACATTCTTTCTCCTCCAGCCTTGGACTGAGCCTAGCTTACCTTTACTTTTAGGAGACCTCTTCTCTCAGGATAAGTCTTTTAAGCTTCTATTTCCAAGAGACCACTTTATTTATTCTTCCTGGATCTGCTCCTTACTTTCTAAGCTTTGTTCAGTCTGTTTGACATTTGTAGCGTCTTCACAAGATTGCTCCAACCCCAGCTAGCTCTCTCCCTTGTTTCTGTTGCATTTTTGTTAGTCTCTTCAGGTTAGTAAGGAACTAGTGGTGTACACCAATTGCAAGATTCAGTTGATTTGGTGCTTTAGAAACAGCCTGATTCGATCAGAAGTGCTTCTGAGATTTCATTCCCTTCCTGCCCTGGAACCATCATTAATTTTTTTGCTTTATTTTTTGAAATAATTAAATGAAATTCGCAAGCATTCTAGTCCTTTATCCTCTGAGGAGGATAAATGCTGCCAAATTTCATAAGAAAGTTGCAGTCATTTCTCTGCAAGTTTTGGGGTGGTTAAAAAGGGATCAATTTGTATGGTCAGTTTATATGAAAAGAGCATATACACATCATAGAGATGCCCTTAGGTAAGGCGGATACCAAATTTCAGAAGTATTGGTGTTGTATTTTTTTGTTCTAAGTGCTTTTAAAGTTGATTCTGGAGGAAAGAACTAAAAGAAATTATGTTGTTCCTAATGAATCCCTTCACTGCTTAGGGTGATGTTGGACTGGCCTGTCCCAAAGCCCTGCTTTTAAGGAAGAAGATCAGTTGTAGCTGGGAAGAGCACCTTTGCAGTCATTTTCCCCAAACCTTTGAAGGATCTTTACAAGAAAGTGCCTCAGTGCACACACACACTTCTACGGGGAAAATGCCTTTAGTTTAAAATAGTTTGTGCAACCACTCGTTCCTTTAATATTGCTGTTTGTGTGTTTAAATTTTAATTGATCTTATGGTTGGGTTGTTTCCTATTTAGGATTCTGTAAGTCACCTTGACTAAAGGATGAAATGAGAGTAATATGAAATGCAAACGTTTATAGGTAACAAGAATAAGACCGCAAATCATGTTTGTTTTGGTATGTGTGGAAAATTACACACACACACACACACACACACACACACTTCCCATTCACAATCCAAACCATTACATATATATAATTCATTTAATAGGCTTTTAATCTTTTAGTCAGTTTTAGACGGTATTGCAAATATAAATAAACTCTGACATTGACTAAGTTGCTATGTAGTTACTTATTTCTCACATAATGCTTTAGGGCCATGACCTTATGAGTCACTCATCACAGTGGCAGAACCTGATTAATGTTACTATGT